TCTCTCATAAACATAGGATCACAGAATGGTTTAGGTTGGAAGAAACCTTAAGGATCATCTAGTTCCAATTTCCCTGCCATGGGAAGGGACACCTTTCCCTAGACCAGGTTTCTCAGAGCCCCACCCAGTCTGGCCTTGAACACCTCCAGGGAGGGGCATCCACGACTTCTCTGGGTAACCTGTTCCAGTGCCTAACTGCCCACATGGTAAAGAATTTCTTCCTAATATCTAATCCAAACTTATCTCCTTCAGTTTAAGGCTGTTTCCCCTTGTCCTATCACTGCACGCTCTTGTGAAAAGTCCCTCTTCAGCTCCCTTGTAGCCCACTTTATGTACTGGAAGGCACTATAAGGTCTTCCTTCTCTTTTCCAGGCCCCAAGTCTCTCAGCCTGTCTTCACAGGAGAGGTGTGCCAGCCTTGTGATCAGCTTAGTGGCTCTCCTCTGGACTTGCTCCAAGTCCACGTTTTTCTTGTGCTGGGGGCCCCAGAGCTGGATGCAGCACTCCAGATGGGGTCTCATGAGAGTGAAGTAAAAGGGGCAAAATCACTTCCCTCACCCTGCTGACCACGCTGCTTTCAATGCAGCCCAGGACACAACTGGCCTTCTGGGCTGCCAGCGCTCATTGTCAGCTCACGCTGAACTTTTCATCCACCAGCAGCCCCCAGTCCTTCTCCTCAGAGCTGCTCATGATCTGTTCCTCCCCCAACCTGTATTTGTCTTGGGACTGCCCCGGCCCAGGTGCAGGACCTTGCACTTGGCCTTGCTAGATTTCATGATGTTTGCACCATCCCACCTCTCAAGCCTGTCCAGGTCCCTCTGGATGGCATCCCTTCCCTACAGTGTGTCAACCGCACAACATGGCTTAGTGTCGTTTGGCAAACTTGCTGAGGGTGCACTCAAACCCACTGTCTATGTTGCTGACAAGGATGTTAAACAATCATGCAGGTCTTTACCTGTAGACGTAGGGAGACCAATGCATGGCTTTGCAACTACACAAAACACAAGGGATTTGAAATAGGAAGCAGGACCAAGAGCTGCCTTCATATTCATGACCTGAATTTTTAGCATGGCATGCTTAGAGAGAAGTGAGGGAACTGTGCTGAGAAATCAAACTTGCCCAGTCTAAGCTATGTGAGCAGAGACTACCTTAGGCCTCCAGACCAGCCACATCATATATAAGTCAATAGCCCCGTGCAGAAATTATCCATTTCCACCCAGAGAAAAATGCCAATGCCCACTATGGTCCCCATTCCATGGAGGACTAATGGTGACTACACTGGGGGTCCTCTTCAAGGAGGTGGCTACTCCATTTTCTGGGGCTCTGCAGGGGGTACAGAAAAGGGGTCACTACAACAAGATCCTTGAAAGAGTAAGAGCCAAGTAAGGCTGTAAGAGTAAAGCCAAGTGTGCCCAGAGCTCTAGGCACCTCAGGGAAACAGGCATTTCAAACCCATTTCTGGCTGGGACTGTTAAAGTACTGGACTGCTTGTCCTGGTGGAAATTGAAGACATCAGTTTGGGTCAGTGGTTTCCCTCCTGGGGAGGTGATGGGCACAGCTCAGTGCAGGCACTGGGCAGCAGCCTGGTCTCACCAGGGCTGTGGTAGCTGCACAAGCCATCAGGCAGCTGTTTTGGATCTAACAGACTGCAAGTCCTGGCTTTCAGCAAATCTACTGCTGAAGATCAGAGGGAAAGATGAGAGGCCAAGGTAAAGTGGTCCCTACTCCTCTGTTGCAAATTATCCTGGAGAATGAGAGACTAGCAGAGAAATATTTGAAGTTTTTTAAAGCTGCACACAGGAACAAAAAAAAGTCATGGCTAGGACATATTAAAGAGGAACCAATCTAAACCTTATTGCTGACACCTAAATATTTGCCTAAAAGGGTCTCAGTTTACATGTGGCCACAATGAAATTCCAACATGATACTTTTCTGCAGCAAAGGCTACTGGCTGGAAACTATCAGGGCCTTTTAATTTCTGTTAGTGCCTGCTGAGGGGGTTGGTGGGTTGATACTGTTTAAAAGAGGGAACAGCAGAGATTCTGGCCCTGAAAGGAAGAAACCACCCTTGATGCCTGCAGTGAGACTACAGGAATGGTGGGCAACAAGGTGCTTCGGAAACATCACACTTGCAGACAGATACAAGCTGGCTTCTCAGAGCGGGGAGTTAGCCAGGACCTGGCAGCGATCCATCAGGCACAGGAGTCCTGGTTCTGGCCTATTCTACTCATCTGAGCCAACCTATGTATATGGAGAGGTGCTCTGGAGGAGATAGGTAAGGAATAAGATCAGCTGTTGAACAATGCCAGTGTTCTAGTGCAAAATCTGCATTTTTATTAAAGACATATTTTGGAAGGCCCATTCAAAAATACATTGTGCTCAGTAAAAATTAACC